CGTGTCCAAGTGCCTTTAAAAACAAATAACAGCCCTGGCCAGTGGCTCAGTGGTTAGAGCATCGGTCCGAGAACCGAAGGGTCTAGGGTTCAATTCCCAGTCAAGAGCACGTTCCTCAGTTGTAGGTTCATCCTCACCTGTCAGGGCTCATGCATGGGGTAGGCGACCGATCGACGTTTCTCTGTGTCTCCCTCCTCCCTCCCTCCTACTCCCTCTAGAAGTCAATGGAAATAATATCATTGGGTGAGGATAACATTGTGAAGTATGTTTTGGGTCTGGGTAATATTACTTCTAATGCACATGGTAAGCATAAGCTGCAAATCGTTATAATTCTACCAATAGTTACTGTTCTGCTTCGCATGGCAACTGGCAACTTGGAAAATTTATTTTTAAGAAAATATCTAAAAGTTCATCTCCAGAAGCTAAATGTAACCATTCTCCTCCTCTGCATTCCAGACTAACTCATGTGGTATTCATGACCTGACTGTGTGTTTCAGCCTATGACTCACTCACGTGGCATTCATGAGCTGACTGTGTGTTTCAGCCCGTGACTCACTCACGTGGTATTGATGACCTGACTCTGTGTGTTTCAGCCTATGAGCTGCAGAACTGCCCGGACCCGCCCCCCTTCCCCAACGGGTACCTGGTCGGCTCCGACTACAGCGTGGGCCAGTCCATCTCCTTCCAGTGTTACCCCGGGTACATTCTCATCGGCCACCCCGTCCTCACCTGTCAGCACGGGACCGACCGAAGCTGGAGCCACCCCTTCCCCAGGTGTGACGGTAGGTCAGCCGTTCCTCCCGGGAGCCAGGTAGCTCCTCTCGTAGATAACGGCGCCTTGAGTATTACAAGAACTCATCCGAGAATGCATTAATTTGTTCAACAAATATTTATTGGGATCTATTATGTCCAACTCATTCTACTTAGGATTCAGGAACACGTCTTGGGCCAGTAGGTTAAGAAAAGATGTGTAAATCAGTCTCGCCCCCAAGGAAATGACAAGAATGTCATAATAAACACAAATGTTTGTTATGCAAAACCAGAGACCAGCAGGCTGCTTGGGTGGATTTCAGACACAGAAGACGGTGTTTGCTTGGGAAGGGAAAGGAAGGGAAGGGCACTGTTTAGGGTGAGATTAGAGGCGGGAGGGTGGTTATCAATTCCACCCCAGAGATTTTTTACGGCTTAACTTCTGTCATCATCGTACATCGCTTCTCTGTTTCAGGAAACTGGCTTTATTGGGGAGTGGGGCTGGAAGCAGGCACACCGTTTTGCTACTGGGAGGTGGAGACTGTCCGGGGAGAAGCAAAGGGTCTAACCCAGGGGCGGGCAAACTTTCTGACTCGAGGGCCACAGTGGGTTCTGAAACTGGACCGGAGGGCCGGAACAAAGCCATGGATGGAGTGTTTGTGTGAACTAATATAAATTCAAAGTAAACATCATTACATAAAAGGGAAC